TATAATTTTCACTAGTTTTGCCATTAATATCCTTTTCTTATTCTAAAATCCAACTTAGGATCCCACATCACATTTAGTTGTGGGATCCTAGGTCTCACACTAAGGAATTCCTAGTCTCCTTAGTCTCCAACCTATGACAATTCCACAGTCTTCTTTCTTTCTCTTTCTTTCTCTTTCTCTTTCTTTCTCTTTCTTTCTCTGTCTTGTCTCCCCTTCCCTTCCCTTCCCTTCCTTTCCCATGACACTTTCGATGAATACTGGTCAGTTATTTTGCATATCGTTTTTCAATTTGAGTTTGTGTGGTTTCTCATGGTTCAGCTGAGATTGTATATTTTTGGGAAGAATACCACAGAAGCGATGGACTCTTCTGAGGCATCAGAAAATACATGATGTTGATATTTTGTTATAGGTAATGTTGTTTCCCCACTGTGAAACTATTATTTTCATCTTTTTCTTTAATGGATATTTTGGAGGAGATACTTTGAGACTATGCAAATGTCCTTTTTCTCCTCAAATTTTGACCCACTGCTTTTAGTTACCTTTGGTGCATATGTATTTTAAATCTTGTTCTTGGACTACTTCTTACAATATGGTAAGCCAATGATTGTTTTGTGGATTTTTCACAATTATACAGTTTCACAATTACAAAGGTATTGCCTTCTCAACTTTTAACTATCGAGTTAATGGCTAGGATTTCTTGTGCTTTAGCAGGGGATGATAGTAAATAAAACTGAAAGAATAATATTTAACTTAAAAAGAAAATTTGAAGAGCTAATCCTTGTAAATTCAGGCATAAGACAATCTTCATTCTAGATTAGCAAAGGGTAGAGTGGATTTGTTAAATTTCTATAAAATGACAAAAGATTATGTAAAAGATGAACTTGGAGTAGTTGACCCAATTTTTGATTATTAGAACTAAGAAATGCCTATTAAAAACAACAACTACTTAAGACTAGTGTGAGAGAATTAGTACTTTACATGCAAGAAGACTACTCAGCCACCTAAGAAATCTTAGGCTAAAAATAAATAAATAATATCAATATAGTTGAAAGAAAATAATACATTAATAATGTCTATAATAGAGCTTCTAAGGAAAATGGTTACATAAACATATGTTTTGTTGTTGTTGTTGTTGTTGTTGTTGTTGTTTTTGAGACAAAGTCTCACTCTGTCACCCAGGCTGGAGTGCACTGGCGTGACCTCGGCTTACTGTAGCCTCGGCCTCCCAGGTTCACACTATTCTCCTGCTTCAGCCTCCCAAGTAGCTGGAACTACAGGCACCCGCCACCACACCCCGCTAATTTTTTTCTATTTTTAGTAGAGACCGGGTTTCATCGTGTTAGACAGGATGTTCTTGATCTCCTAACCTCGTGATCCGCGCACCTCAGCCTCACAAAATGCTGGGATTACAGGCATGAGCCACTGTGCCTGGCCATAGGCATATGTTTTTAAGAAGTTAAGCCCATTTGTCAATTTTGGCTTTTGTTGCCATTGCTTTTGGTGTTTTAGACATGAAGTCCTTACCCATGCCTATGTCCTGAATGGTATTCCCTAGGTTTTCTTCTAGGGTTTTTATGGTATTAGGTCTAACATTTAAGTCTCTAATCCATCTCGAATTAATTTTCATATAAGGAGTAAGGAAAGGATCCAGTTTCAGCTTTCTGCTTATGGCTAGCCAATTTTCCCAGCACCATTTATTAAATACGGAATCCTTTCTTTCCCCATTTCTTGTTTTTGTCAAGTTTGTCAAAGATCAGATGGCTGTAGATGTGTGATATTATTTCTGAGGGCTCTGTTCTGTTCTATTGGTCTATATCTCTGTTTTGGTACCAGTACCATGCTGTTTTGGTTACTGTAGCCTTGTAGTATAGTTTGAAGTCAAGTAGCATGCTTCTGCACAGCAAAAGAAACTACCATCAGAGTGAACAGGCAACCTACAGAATGGGAGAAAATTTTTACAATCTACTTATCTGACAAAGGGCTAAATCCAGAACCTACAAAGAACTCAAACAAATTTACAAGAAAAAAAAAAACCCATCAAAAAGTGGGCAAAGGATATGAACAGACATTTCTCTAAAGAAGACATTCATACAGCCAACAGACACATGAAAAAATGCTCATTACTGGCCATCAGAGAAATGCAAATCAAAACCACAATGAGATACCATCTCACACCAGTTACAATGGCAATCATTAAAAAGTCGGAAACAACAGGTGCTGGAGAGGATGTGGACAAATAGGAACACTTTTACACTGTTGGTGGGATTGTAAACTAGTTCAACCATTGTGGAAAACAGTATGGCGATTCCTCAAGGATCTAGAACTAGAAATACCATTTGACCCAGCCATCCCATTACTGGGGATATACCCAAAGGATTATAAATAATGCTGCTATAAAGACACATGCACACGTATGTTTATCGCGGCACTGTTCACAATAGCAAAGACTTGGAAACAACCCAAATGTCTATCAGTGACAGACTGGATTAAGAAAATGTGGCACATATACACCACAGAATACTATGCAGCCATAAAAAAGGATGAGTTCGTGTCCTTTGTAGGGACATGGGTGCAGCTGGAAACTTTCTCAGCAAACTTTCGCAAGAACAGAAAACCAAACACCGCATATTCTCACTCATAGGTGGGAATTGAACAATGAGATCACTTGGACTTGGGAAGGGGAACATCACACACCGGGGCCTATTATGGGGAGTGGGGAGGAGGGAGGGATGGCATTGGGAGTTATAACTGATGTAAATGACGAGTTGATGGATGCTGACGAGTTGATGGGTGCAGCACACCAACATGGCATATGTATACATATGTAACACACCTGCACATTGTGCACATGTACCCTAGAACTTAAAAGTATTAAAAAAAAAAAAAGAAGTTAAGCCCTTTCTTAAACGAGCAAAAAGAACCAGAAATAGAAGAAAAAAATTACATCTTTACTGAAACAAAGGCCCCAGCTTTGTACTACTAGCACTAGTTCTACTCTCATTGCCAGGTTTAAATTTTATTTTTAAGTAGTGCTGTAGCAAAGAACGTTGTATATATCACTTTACCTAATGATACTTTATTTCTCTATGTGTGTGTGTGTTTGTGTCTGTGTGTGTGTGCGCGTGCGCATGCGCGTGCATTTGTGCATGTGCTTTTTTTTTATTTAAATAAATATTCAGATTAATTCTTCAGGGAAAGTAATATCCATTAAGCAGTATGTATACGAGACTGCTTCTTTTGCCTTCTTGATCTTCCTTGCTTTAGTCCTGAATCAGGTTTTATCAACAATAAGAAATACCTATACTTTATAGCATAATATCCTGTAAAAAAGATAATGACGATTTTATATTGAGCTCTTATATGTCAAGTACTCAACTAAAGTGCTTATCTTATTATGTCACCAAATTATTTCTGCTGTGGAGTACAAAGGCAAACTTTTTAAACCCTTTTCATCTTTTTTTTACATAATACATTTAAGTAGCAAGTAGAATTCTTGAAGACAATGAGGTTACCAGCTATAAAGAAAAAATAGCCTTTTCTTAAACTCTCTTCTAGGTAAAGAGTAAATATTTTTCTATTTGGTGAAATTGAACTTGGTAAAAATAATTTTTATGGGCTTTACCATCAGACAACCACATGTCTCAGAGTTCATTAGTTACTGTTGTTGATCCAAAACCTACCCTTTGTACATTAGTTGCATGCAGCCATCAGTAGCAACTATGCCTTTCCCATGATGAATGCTGATAAAAAGAAATATAAATTCTGTAAGAATATGGACAGACTCATCATAGCAGTACTGTAGTCTATGGAAGTGATTTACAGCAATACCAGAATATGAAGACAAGTTTTTGAATTCTGTATGATTGGAAAGCTCATTGAAATGGTCTTTCTAATGATGTTATATGTCGATTTAAGATTACCTTCCCCATATGTATCTATCTTATGAGAAAAATTATCTACATACTTTATAGATTCAATCAACAATTAGGCAAATGCTAGCCTTGCATTATTTTAATTAGTCAATATTTTAAAATGAAATCCAACTATTTTTCTTAGTAAATCCACAGTTATTCTGTGAATTGCCTGTAGAATTCAATACAGAAATCTTTCTGTAGTTAGATTATTTAAATGGTGAGAGTTTTCATGTGGCTGATTATAAATTCACTTATAGGCAAGCAGTATCTTTTTCCTTATTATAGATTATGTTCTCTTTAAAGCATCTGTGAATTTAATGACTTCCTTGCTTGAGTGTGGGAACAGTGCATGCAGAGTATTAAAATGAATATAAAATGCCCATTATAGTCCAAATGTTTAATATCAGCATTAGTTATTGCAGTAAAACCAATGCAAGGCTACATCCACAAAGCCCAAAAAATTAATAAAGATGATTAGAAGTGCTTTTGTCATTTTAAATGGGTCACAACTGAGGCCATTTTGAAGTCATGGTTTAAACTTGCCTCCAGTTAAACTCTGAAATGTATTTCCCTTTGTTGAGGGGTATGGGGGGTGTTCACTTTATTGGGGACTCCCAGGCCAGAGTCTTGGACACTTAAAACCTACAAGTATATTGCTATCTGTATTTAGAAGATAAGGGTGCAACCCATTCAAATGTGGTGGTATTTTTTTTTAATTATTCATTAAGGTAACATAGGAATTCTGTTGCAAGTGAACAGATGTGAGGTGATTTGGGATGAATAAGATGAATATAACATGTTAATTGATGGTTGTGGCAACACGCATTTGTGTGAAATTACTATATTCGAACCACTATTAATTTGGGGGGTATAAGAAAACTCAAGAGGATTTGGTATACTTAAACTTATTCTATAAATTGGTATTTTAAATTATGTTGTTTTTATCTACTCCATATTTTATCTTTCAAAAGACCATATATTTAGAAATTTATATTTTTAAAAGTATACAGAAAGTTTAAATATGTTGAATTATTTTGAAAAAAATTTTTATCTGATACTGAGAATTAACATTTTCCCCTCTCATAGATATGGAGTCTGGAGAACGGTTACCATCCTCAGCAGCCTCCTCTACTACACCAACTTCATCTTCGACACCTTCTGTGGCTTCAGTAGTTTCAAAAGGTGGCCTTTCCACTGGAGTTGCTTCACTTAGCTCTACAATCAACCCATGTGGTAAATACCCTTTTAAAACTCAGTTTTAGAATGCCATTCTTTAAATAATTTGCATAGTATTTTATTGAGCTCTGAATAAAATGTTCTCATGACTTGCATTGACCTGTTGAATAAAGGCTAAGTTAAACACCTAGTCTTTTTGCTTTTTCAGGATTTTACAGTGGGAAAGCACTGGTTATTCTATGCTGTTAGAAATTGTCTTTGAGAGTTAAATCTTGATACCATCATTTGTTTTATCATTTTAATTAATAAATTAGTGAAGTCTTTTAAAACAATAGGCCCAAGAGGGAATGAAATAGTAGGAAGTCCTTGGTAGATACTTTGCCCTAGATTTCCTTCCAGTATTTGAAATGACCTTGTAAGCTCCAGCTACTCCAGTTCACAGATGTACACTAAGGCAGATCATTTACTTGATGGAAAATGTTTTTAAAGTTTAGAGCATAACAAATTTCGCTTAAACATGAATAAAATTTGGCTGAGCGCAGTGGCTCACCGTGTAATCCCAGCACTTTGGGAGGCTAAGGCGAGCAGATCACCTGAGGTCAGGAGTTCGAGACCAGCCTGACCAACATGGGGAAACCTCATCTCTATTAAAAATACAAAATTAGCCAGGCATGGTGGTGCATGCCTATAATCCCGGCTACTCAGGAGGCTGAGGCAGGAGAATCGCTTGAACCCAGGAGGTGGAGGTTGCAGTGAACCAAAATTGCGCCATTGCACTCCAGCCTGGGTAACAAGAGTGAAACTCCGTCTCAAAGAAAAAAAAAAAAAGAATAAAATTTATATTTGCGTAAAAGGAGAGCTTTATTTCAGAAGTGAAAATATCCTCAATTTTGATTAATTATGTAGAGGATATCTTTAAGCACCTCCCAAAATCACTTTTGGCTCTTTTACAAAGGTGTGGTAGAATACATTCCTTTTATTAAATACTTAAAGTTATTTAACTCATTTATTTATTGGTAGGAAGCATTTTAACTTGAACTATTTCTTATAGATTATTTCATGTTTATAAGTAGTAAACTAAATGATATTTTTCTTATTCAGAATTAAAATTGAAACTTTTGCATAAATGTAATGCATAAATGTTTAATATTTGCTTACAAAATACCCTAGCAAATTGTCAAATAAATGTTTTCATTCATTTTTGTTTTTCCAGTCAATGGAATGACAAGAAGGATGCCATTCTGTCATTATATTATGATCAAACCATTTTCTAATATATTCTTAGGGATTACAAAATAACTAAAATAGCACTATATATGTGTGTATATGTATATGTGTGTGTGTATATATCTATCTATACATATATAGATATAGATATAGATATAGATTTTTTTTTTTTTTTGAGATGGAGTCTCGCACTGTCACCCAGACTGGAGTGCAATGGCACGATCTTGGCTCATTGCAAGCTCCACTTCCCAGGTTCACGCCATTCTCGTGCCTCATCCTCCTAAGTAGCTGGGACTACAGGTGCCTACCACCACGTCCAGTTAATTTTTTTGTATTTTTAGTAGAGACGGGGTTTCACCGTGTTAGCCAGGATGGTCTTGATCTCCTGACCTCGTGATCTGCCCACCTCAGCCTCCCAAAGTGCTGGGATTACAGGCATGAGCCACTGCGCCCAGCTGCACTATATATTTTTTAAAAATCAATATAACTTCTCTACCCTGTGGACAATCTTCATCAAATAATTAGCAAGTTTGTTCACATTTTCCTTATATGCAAAATGATGGCTGGACTCTAAGTGTCCAAGGCTCTGATGACATACCATGCTCAAAAATAGTGATGCTTATGATTGACTTTTTACCTCAGATAACTTTGTGTAAATGATTATACTCAGTTGTACTTATGTAATTATATTTTGCTGTTTTTTGTAACTCTTCTTTCTCTTTCCCTTGTTGTGAGCTCCTTTCAGTGTATTCTAATCTTCTGTCTTTATATTTATTTCTGAATTAGTCTTTTACATAGTATTCCTAAAGAAATGTCTTTTCTTATGTTGAAGGCTTCAGTAGCATCCTTGAGTACAGATTCTGAGTTTTCTGAACACTTTTTCTCGCTTAGTTTTCTGAATTAGTGACATTGGAATTTGCTTGCAGTTCTCATGAGTCACATGTTGGGCACTATTTTTTGTTTGTTAGTGGATGGTTGGAAACTGCAGAAGGGATGGAGTGTGCTGAGTTGCTGAATAACATTAGAAATCTAGTCTAGAAAGGGATGCATGTTTTTAATCGTTATTTGCTGCTAGTAAGAAAGGGTGTAGAGTATTTATATTGAGATGCTTACATTGAATGAAAGTATAATTCCATTTACGCAGAAATGTGTCATTTATTAACATATTTTTAGTACCTACAACATGAGTGTTTTTCATTCTGTAGGTAAAATAAATTTTTCTAAACTTTCACAGTGTTGTAGTCCATAATTAAAATGAAGCCTTTTACAGCAGCCCCAGTCAGGGACTTACAGATAAAACTCCTGTCTCCCTGGAACAAAGCACCTGGGGGAAGGGGTGGCTGTGGGCACAGCTTCAGCATACCTAAACACTCCTGCCTGCCAGCTCTGAAGAGAGCGGCGGATCTCCCAGCACAGCACTCAAGCTCTGCTAAGGGACAGACTGCCTCCTTAAGTGGGTCCCTGACCCCCGTGCATCCTTACTAGGAGACAACTCCTAGCAGGGGTGACAGACACCTCAAACAGGAGAGCTCCGGCTGGCATCTGGCAGATGCCTCTCTGGGATGAAGTTTCTAGAGGAAGGAATAGGCAGCAATCTTTGCTGTTCTGCAGCCTCCACTGGTGATACCCAGGAAAACAGGTCTGGAGTGGACCTCCAGCAGACCTGCAGCAGAGGGGCCTGACTGTTAGAGAGAAAACTAACAAACAGAAAGACATAGCATCAATATCAACAAAAAGGACATCCACACAGAAACCCCATCCAAAGGTCAACAACATCAAAGACCAAAGGTAGATAAATCCACGAAGATGAGGAAAAACCAGCACAAAAGAGCTGAAAATTCCAAAAACCAAAATACCTCTTCTCCTCCAAAGAATCACAACTCCTCGCCAGCAAGAGAACAAAACTGGATGGAGAAAGGAGTTTGACTAACTGACAGAAGTAGGCTTCAGAAGGTGGATAATAACAAACTCCTCCGAGCTAAAGTAGCATGTTCTAAACCAATGCAAGAAAGCTAAGAACCTTGAAAAAAGGTTAGAGGAACTGCTAACTAGAATAATCAGTTTATAGAAGAACATAAATGACCTGATGGAGCTGAAAAACACAGCACGAGAACTTCGTGAAGCATATGCAAGTATCAATAGCCAAATCAAGCAGAAGAAAGGATATCAGAGATTGAATCAGCGTAATGAAATAAAGCATGAAGACAAGATTAGAGAAAAAAGTATGAAAGGAAAGAACAAAGCCCCAAGAAATATAGGACTATGTGGAAAGACTGAACCTATGTTTGATTGGTGTACCTGAAATTGACAAGGAGAATGGAACCAAGTTGGAAAACACTCTTCAAGATATTATCCAGGAGAATTTCCCCAAGCTATGAAGACAGGCCAACATTCAAATTTAGGAAATACAGAGAACACCACAAAGGTATTCCTCAAGAAAAGCAACCCCAAGACACATAATCGTCAGATTTACCAAGGTTGAAATGAAAGAAAAAATGTTAAGGGCAGCCAAAGAGAAAGGTCGGGTTACCCACAAAGGAAACCCCATCAGACTAACAGCAGATCTCTCTGCAGAAACCCTAGAAGCCAGAAGAGAGTGGGGGCCAATATTCAACATTGTTAAAGGAAAGAATTTTCAACCCAGAATTTCATATCCCGCCAAACTGAGCTTCATAAGCGAAGAAGAAATAAATCTTTTACAGACAAGCAAATGCTGAGAGATTTTGTTACCACCAGGCCTGCCTTACAAGAGCTCCTGAAGGAAGCACTAAACATGGAAAGGAATAACCGGTACCAGCCACTGCAAAAACATGCCAAATTGTAAAGACCATCAACACTATGAAGAAACTGCACCAACTAATGGGCAAAATAACCAGCTAGCATCATAATGACAGGATCAAGTTCACACATAACAATATTAACCTTGGCCGGGCGCGGTGGCTCAAGCCTGTAATCCCAGCACTTTGGGAGGCCGAGATGGGCGGATCACGAGGTCAGGAGATCGAGACCATCCTGGTGAACACGGTGAAACCCCGTCTCTACTAAAAAGTACAAAAACACTAGCCGGGCGAGGTGGCGGGCGCCTGTAGTCCCAGCTACTCGGGAGGCTGAGGCAGGAGAATGGCGTGAACCCAGGAGGCGGAGCTTGCAGTGAGCTGAGATCCGGCCACTGCACTCCCACCTGGGCGACAGAGTGAGACTCCGTCTCAAAAAAAAAAAAAAAAAAAAAAAAATATTAACCTTAAATGTCAATTAAAGGCTGAATGCCCCAATTAAAGGACACAGGCTGGCAGATTGGATAAAGAGTCAAGACCCATTGGTGTGCTGTATTCAGGAGATCTAGCTCACAGGCAAAGACACACATAGGCTCAAAATAAAGGGATGGAGGAATATTTACCAAGCAAATGGAAAGAAAAAAAAAAAAAGCAGGGGTTGCAATCCTAGTCTCTGAGAAAACAGACTTTAAACCAACAAAGATCAAAGGAGACAGAAAAGGACATTACATAATGGTAAAGGGATCAATGCAACAAGAAGAACTAACTATCCTAAATATATGTGCACCCAGTACAGGAGCACCCAGATTCTATAGAGTTCGACTCCCACACAATAATAGTGGATGACTTTAACACCCACTGCCAATATTAGGTCAACAAAACAGAAAATTAACACGGATATTCAGGACTTGAACTCAGCTCTGGACCAAGCAGAACTAATACACATCTACAGAACTCTCCATCCCAAATCAACAGAATATAGAGCCCTCTCAGCACCATGTCTCACTTATTCTACAGTTGACCACATAATTGGAAGTAAAACACTCCTCAGCAATT